TGCTTGCCTGGGTTCTGGATAATGGATAATGGTCTTGCCATTATCTTTTCCAGTCACCAATGAGTGAAGCAGTTCTATGTGCTTGCTCGTATGCTTTTTAGCATGTTTTCAGCAGTGTTGTCAGATGCCTTCAAAGAAGAATTTTCCTGCCTTAGTGCAGGGACATGCAATAAATATACAGGGGCATTTAGCTTCTCTGGATGTGATGCCCCTCCCCCATCTCTAACTTGTCTAGTCAGTGGGGCAAGATTTTGTGACTCATGTAGTTTTTAGAAATCCACCAAGTCACAGGCGCCCTGTCTCCACTTGGGTGAGACTTTTTATGCCTTTAGCTGACCACAGACAATCAAGTCCCAATCAAGTCAAATTTTGTTGTCTTTTAGGGAAAACAAATCCTAGTTGTGGGGAATTGGGGATACCCTCAGTCTCTCACACTATTACTCTATCTCCTTTTTAATGATTTTTTTCTTTGTTTTTACTTTTTGTGCAGATTTCATTACATATTCTGGTTTTCTACTGTGATGTTTACAGTCATTTATTACAGGAAAGTCTTGATTGTTTCCAATTTAATTTTCTATTTTGTTGGATGTTGTCCTTAAGCCTTACAGAATATAAACCCTTTTCCCATAATCCTTCTGCCACTAACAGTATTATCTGCTGTATGTAAGTACTTGAAAACTGTTATTAATATTACTTTTTATGATCTTCTATTTAATTCTGTTGCATTGCTGTCAATTCGCATTTTTTTATTGTCCATGTTTTGTATATAAATTGCATACAATGCTTATTACTTATTTTAATATTGCTAATTTTGTTGCATGTCATGGAGCAATGTCCTAAAAAGATGGGTGCTGAATTGGTTGAAGAGTATTACAGTGTTATAAATATAAAAATCCATGGAAGGAAATGGCAAATCACTTCAGTGTTTTTGCTAAGAAAATCCCAAATGGTGTCACAAAGAGTTGGACACGACTGAAATGACTTAACAACAAGGTGGAGAAATACGTAGAGTTTCCTGATATTAGGAATAAATGCAGATTATAAATCTAATGACATAAAACATTGAAAAGAAGTGAAAAAAACTTCAGGAATTGCAAAGTAATGTTTATTAAAGTCTTGGAGGGGTGACAACTCAGTGTTCTGTGAATTATTAGACTCATTTGATGATTCAGAGGATCACAGATTTAGAGCTGGAGGGGACCTCGGAGGCCACATAGCCCAACCACTTCATTTTACAGATGAGGAAGGTGAGGCTCAGAGAGGTTAAATGACTTGCCTAGGGGCATGCAGCTAATAAGTATTGGAAGTGAGATTTGAACCTGGATCTTCCTGACTCCAAGCCCACTGGATAACATGCATTCTCTATCATAAATTTTTAGAGATGAAAAGTCCTTAGAGGTCATCAGATACAGCTCCTCATTTGACAGATAAGAAAACTGAGATCCAGAGAAGTTATATGATTTGTCCAGGGTCACACAGCTAGTTAAATATGCCAGGCAGAATTTGAACCTAGGTCTTTTCTCTTTCTAAGTCCAGTGCCCTATCCACTACACCATACTATCTCAAACATTCCTGCTGTCTTGAAAGTAGGAAATAGTACCTTGGAATTAATCTGTAAGCTGTCCTCTAGAGAGGAGAAGGTGCTTTAAAAAATAGAAAATTTCATGAGAAAAGATGTTTTGCCCATAGAGATATTTGGAACTACTCTTTAGTAAAAAGTTTCCCTTTATACAAATAAATAAATAAATATAAAAAATAAATAAGTAGTTAAAAAGAATAAATAAAAAGTTTCCCTTTATATAAAGCTGAGATCATCTCAGAACTACCCCTCCAAAGAAAACAATATTGAATTAACCATGTGCCAAACATGCAACTGCATTTGTAGGCACCGCTGTTAGAAAAGAAGGGTAGATTTGGCTCTGAGCACAGAGCCAAAAGATGGACATATAGACAAACAGATGGACGGTTCCAGTATACTTTTATTGAGCTGATTTTGTGCCAGGCACTGTGCTTGGTTTTGCATAAGTCCTGAAGGTCACAAAACCTGAAATGACGTGACAAGCATATCTGTAAAATCTAGAAATGTGATATGGTGGGGCTGAGATTCCAAAGGAAGTATTACATGAATCACTTCTACAATGCACATTGAGGTAGCTAGGTAGCTCAGTGAGTAGAGCCCTGGACCTGGAGTTAGGAAGACCAGAGTTAAAATCCAACCTCAGACACTCACTAGCTGTGTGATCCTGGGCAAGTCATTTACCCTCAGTTTGCCTTAATCCACGGAAGAAGAAATGACAGATCACTCCAGTCTTTGCGAAGAAAACTCTATGGCCAGTATTGGCTTGATATGATCCACCCGGTCACAAAGAGTCGGATGTAACTGAAGAACAATACACATTGATCAATTCTACTGTTGAGAGCAAAGGAAAAATGAAGTCACCAGACTGTTTAAGTCAAAGCAGATACTTGATTACAGAGACACCTAGAGGTCAATTAGCAATTGAGAAAGCAGATAAGGTTAGAATAGAAAAAACCTGAGAGGTCTAATACACACGCTCAAGCTGCACCTGCCCATCATTAATCTTGAGTCCCAACATCTGCCACCAGTTGGCCACGGTCAGGCAACTACCAAAGAGATGGCATTTAAAAGTATGTCTGCAAGAAGTGCTCAAGATCCACTGGCCCCAAAGCATCTTTTCAAGTATGGGTACTGAAAGCAAATCAAGGAGCTACACTGAATATGCAGATTCAAAAGCAGAGACCCTAGAGGATCAAATGAGCAATAGAACAGTGTACAAAACCATTTTTCTCAGAAAGGTAAGAGATCAAGGGAATCGAAGTCACAGAATCCTTATATAGCTCCATCTGGACATAACCAGAGGAACAGATCCACCTTCTACTAAAGTTACATATTAGATGGCTATATAGATGTTGGATGTATTCATATAAAAAACATTCAGCCTTAGTCCTGTAGAAGCTAAGGTCTCTTAAATCAGCATTAGGTAAAGAATAAGGGGCTTGGAAGTAGATCACATCAAGCCAGTACTTATGAGATTTTTCAAATTCAGGAATAGATCCTTATGTATTTGACTTTGATGACTTCTGGACACCAGAAGAATAGAAAGATTGCTTGAGGCAGAAGCTCAAAAAGAATACACGTGTGTTCTTAATGTATGAAAATGGGAGATACTTGAGGAGTAAGCCACAAAATCCAATTCGCTAACATGGCTGTTCTAAGCTATTGGGAAACCATCTAAAAGAGTGTTTTTTCTTTGAGGGAAATAAACCCCCTAATGGGTATAAATGAGGACCAACCTCTATAGCTATTTCTTATGTAACAATTTTAACTGCTGCTAGGGCCAAGGAAGTGCTAAGCTCTTTTCCTCTCCTCTAATGGACCCCTTTCACTAGACTCATGCTGAAGAATAGTGACTGGGTTCAGTTCTAGGGGAGCCTAGCCTCTAATGAGAGGCGTCAAGTCCTTGTTTATACTCTTTACATTTTTCATGCACTCATTTCTGTGGCTCTTTACATCCTCAGTGCTTGGGAGAAAATTACTTCATTTAGGTTTATTTCATATCTGGGGTCTCCCCAAAAGGGGAAAGTAGAAAGGCACTCAATGCACAATATAAATTGGGTACTGCACACCTACTTACTTCCTTTAGAAGAGCTTGCGCAAGGACAAATTGACAAGCTTTAAGTAATCACTAATTTATAATTTAAACATCAGAATATAAAGGTGTGGGACTGCTGAATAGGTATTTTATACTTCACCTTGCTATGCTCTCACTGTTCCCCTTAAGGTAAATGTTTTCTGGCAAGTCAAGTCAAGGCTTAGATCTTGTAGATCTTTTCTGTTTCAGAAACTCGCTTTAGTAACAGTCAGTTACAACTCTTGGACTTAAGGTCTCAGCAATTTGCCTCCAAGCCTAGACACATCCATTTCAGGATTTCTGTTGGAGCACCAGTTATTTGGCAAAGACACACAACGCAGTGAAAGCAGCCAAAGGCTTAGGCTCACCCCACTTGGTTGAGTTGCTCTGCTCTCACTGCCACATGGAAGCTGTAGGGACCTTGCTGAGATAGCTTGAAGTGTGTCTACAGAGATAGGACCCAACAGAACTGACAGAGTCTGCTTCTGGAATATGAGGTACTTAAAGGCAGGTCACTCACTCCCTTTTAAATATCCACTGAATTGGGGGCTCTTCTTGAGATCAACTGCCAATAAGGAGGTTGCCTCATTATTCCCAAAGTGCCAGAATCCTTCACAGTTTAGTCACATGGCCAGAGGGAAGTGTCCATAGACTTCCTTATCCCTAAAACGTGCAAGCTATCTCTGATTGCAAATGTAGTTATCCACAAGGAAGGGCAGCTCTGCTTGTGTCCTGTTGCAGTTATACAACAAAACCTTACATGACTTTGGCTAAATTACTGGACCTGTTTTCTCATTTGTAATATAAGGGGGAGGGGGTTTCCAATTAGATGATAATGGTCAAGTTAAAACTCATATTAACCCAAGGCTCACAAGTCTGAAACCTAAACGAACTTGAAGCACTAGGTCCTAGACTGGCTATGTAACTCTAGCAATTTTCGTTCAAATGGTTAAGGTGAAATTACTGCTCATCAGCACTTCCAAAAGTGCAGTTAGGGGAACTGAGGTAGAAGATGGTGAGTGGTTTCCTTTGGCCTCAGACAGGTAGCCCTAATTAATTCAGGGGTAGTGTCTGTCCTCAGGTAAGGAAACCCTACAAAGTCACAAGACTTTCATCGGAGAAACGGCTCCATCATCTGCTTTCTTGCTGTTCTCCTTTATAACTTACTGGCCTGTCCCAAGAACAGTAAAACAGCTGCCCCGGGCTGCAGTGCCCAGGTCCTAGGATCTTCTCAGGTCATTCCTGAGTGTCTGAAGCTATGTGAGGCTGGGCGCCACCTATCAGGTGAAAGAACCAGTGGGCTGGGAGCCTAGAAAAGAGGAAGAAAGGCTGGCGAAGAGGCGGAGGAGGAAGTAGCCTGAGGGCTCCCGGAGCCGCGGTAGCTGTGCGAGTTCACCTGTGCTTTGTTGGGGAGGAGTCGGGCATAGCGTTCTGTCCGCACAGCAGGTAAGTGATACCTGGGGGAGAAAATAAAAAGAAAAATAAATCTGTCTGTCCTGGCAGTGGGGATCGAGGGCACAATCTGAGAGGCTGGTTTGTCGGTTTATTTGGATGTCCTATGCTAGGTTGGGCTGGAGGCTATTCGAGGAGAGTGTGGCTGGGTTGAGGGGTACTGGTTCCCGTATAACAAACCCAATGCTCCTTCCAAAGCACGTATATATAGAATAGAAATGACTTAAAAACCCGAAATAATTACGGATTTTGGACGAATAGGTGAGAAGGGGTAGGAGCCAGTGGATCGCTTCTGATCAAATGTGGTAGTTACTAGTTAAACTTACCCAACTAGCCCTGGACACGGGGTGCGCAGGCTTTGGCTCTCTCGGTTTTTAGCCCTTAAGGGAAGCTTTTCTATACATAGTTCTTCTGGGGAGGGAGTGGGTGAAGGGACCTTATCTTTTTAAATGCTAAATTGGTAGGTGGAGGAAGCCCAAATGAAATCATACATGAAGCCAGCGTCTTTTGGCTCAGGAAAGACTTTGGCTCTGGCTACCTAGACAATTTGTAAGAGAAAGAGACTTACTTCCTGGTGATTGTGGACTCTGGTGGGTATATTTACTCTTTTCTCCCCCCCCCCCAGATACCTCTGGATTAGCACCGAGGGTGAGAACTAGATTTTCTGGCTGAGCTGGTTATTTCTTTGTGGAAAATCCCAGTAGGCAAAGATGACATGGACGTTACGTGAGTAACTTCTACTTTTTAGTTAATACTAAGTTTATAGGTCATTTAGCAACTTGTTTGATGCTATCAGAGCTATGGTTGGATGGAGAGGGTGAGGGATCTTGTGAAATGTGTGACCTCATGGTTTGAATGGACCACTTTTGGCTCTTTAATTCTAGGACTAAATAGAAATAGTCTGTGTAATTGTCCTTTGTAGGACAATTTGTCTTTTGGGGCTAAGTATGAAGATGATTGGGGATGGTGGTGGAAATAACTCAAAGGATATGCTTTTGGCTCAACAGAACAATTTGAGTCTCTAGGTTCATTTTAAATTCTGAGGGAGCCTTTTAGAGGTGTTTAGTTACTTGATCAAATCAGAGAAAAGGATAGACTGCCAATAAACTAATCTTTAGTTAGAGGAATGCCATTTATTTCAATATGTGTTTTGTCTCAGTTTTTTTTTAACCTTTGAAACTTAGCCCCTTGAAAGGGGGGGTCAGATTGTCACTCCAAAGGGGGAGAAGAATGTTGGTGTAGCAGCATTTTGTGGATTATAAACCTCTCTCCTTTGAAGAGAAACCTCAATAGCTATATTTCTGCTCTAGTTTGACTGCAGACACTTAAATTTGATTTTCCACAGGAATAATGTAGCAATAGTGGAATTACCACTAAACATGAGACATGAACACCCTGCTCAAAAAGTGCTTCTGAAGATTATTTTTCTAAACATCAAAGTTTTGAAACTATATAAATCTGTCAGGAACATTGCAAACTGTATTGGTAAAATGCTTATTTGTTTCTGGGGCTGACATCAGTTACTCTTTGCACTGGGACATAGACAAAGCTTTTGGGAGGCTAGTGTGTGTATGCATGTGTATTTGTCCTCCCGCCCTCTACTCAAAACAATGAAACACTCCCCTGTCCCCTTTTCTGGCCTTCCCTAGGACTATTTCTTGTTCTTCTAGAAGGGTCTAGAAAAATGACATTCCTGCAATGGTTTCATAGCCTCTATAGAACAGGAATAGAAGGAAGTAAGGAAATATGTATTTAATCACCTACTTACCATATGCCAAGCTTTGTGCTAAGGGCTTTACAAATATTGTCTCATTTCATCCTCATAACCCTGTGAGTTCAGCACTATTACCCCCATTTTACAGTTGAGCAACTTGAGGCAGACACATGTTAAGTGACTTGCCCAGGGTCACAACTGGGTCTGAAGCTAGATTTGAACTGGGGTCTTTCCTATTTAGCGCACTAGCACTACGGGCTACTTTTAAAGGTCTGACAGGAATCCAAGTGAATTGTTTTGAATAGAAATGATGAAATGGACCTTGAGTGAAATGACTCACTTTTATGTATTTATTTAATACAGACCTATGATTTTAATGATATTTGGACCTCTAGGTGAGGAACTTCCTGTACATAGGCAGATCTGTTATTTCTTTAGCTTGTAATCTTAAGAGTTGCCTAAGGGTACTGGGAAGTTAAGTGTTTTCCCCAGTGTCACATAGTAAGCCTGAAGTGGAATTTGAACCTTGTATACTTACCATTTCTTTCTTGAAGGTCAGGCTTCTGGGGATAATCTTGAATTCTCCTTCAGCCTTTCATTTCCAAAGACACTATTCCCACTGCACTTCATGAAGTATTTTTTTTAATAGGTAAGATCATGTTAAAATGGTTATGGCAGCCTTGGAGGGAGGGACATTGATAAAAGAGCTGGGCTGTGTCTGTGTGGTGTTGACAGGTTAGGAGCTTCTAATAGATGTTCAAAAGCACTCTATGCTCACTAAGTAGCTACTATACAAGATTAAGTCTCTAGAGTTGCAAGGGACCACAGAATCCATCTGGTCCAATCCCCAGTCCTTTAATTTATAAGGGAACTGAGGCTAAGGAGATTAAGTGACTTGCCTAAGACCACCAGGATAGTAGGCATTAGAATTTTCTAATTCTAGTTTTGCTGAAAAAATGTGGAGAAAAGTTGTGGGAAATACTGATTGGTGGGAAGTACCAAAGCCATCTTCTTTTTGTGGTCTTTCTCCTCAGTTCCCCCATTCTGGCTGAATCTGAATAGAGAGGTTAGTCATTGTGTTTCCAGTGCTTGTGGGGCACCTTGTCTATTTGATAGTACAAATTACTTTTTTAGTCTCATCCTTGAACTGTTATCAATAATGATAATAAGCAAGAATTTAGTAGGCACTTAAAATATTTTCCCCCCAATTACATGTAAAGACAATTTTAAACATTTATTAAAAATTTGAGTTCCAAATTCTTTCTAGTTCCCTTCTTTCCATCCCTTCCTGAACTGTAAGCAATTTGATATAGATCATACACGTACAATCATGAAAAACGCATTTCCAATATTAGCCATGTTGTAAAAGAAAACACAGACCAAAAAATAAGAAAAATAAAATAAAAAAGTATGTTTCAATCTGCATTCAGACTCCATCGGTTCTTTCTCTGGATGTGGATAGCATTTTTCATCACCACTTCTTTGGAATTGTCTTGGGTCACTGTATTGCTGACAATAGTAGCAAAGTCATTCACAGTTGATCATCATACAATATTGCTGTTACTATGTATGATGTTCTTCTGACTCTGCTCATTTCACTTTGCATCAGTTCGTGTAAGTCTTTCCAGGTTTTTCTGAGAGCATCCTGCTTGTCATTTGTTGTAGTATAATAGCACAATCATATACCACAACTTGTTCACCCATTCCCCATTGATAGGCATCCCCAATTTCCAATTTTTTACCACCACAAAAAGAGCTGAATAGGTTCTTTTGTATCTCCTACAAGTTGGGCACATGAGCCCCTGACCCAAAGAGGTGAGGAAATGACATGTGACCTCAGAGATCAACTCAATAACATGAAATTTTACTAGATCCTTTTGAGGCTCCTTCTAGCTCTAATATTTTATACGAAGTGCTAAAACTTGGTAAGATTAAGGTAAGTTTTAATGACCAAGAAGCCAGAATGTAGGAAGTAACTTAAGGGGAAAGGATTATAGTATAGACTTGGCTTTTAATGTCAATTATTTAAAGTCAATCCCTGGTGATTAGATACAAATGTGAAATAAAAATGAGCTAAAGAAAAGTTTTTCATCACATAAACCAGGGTTTCTTAACCTTTTTGTGTGTGTTATAGACAGACCCCTTTGGCAGCCTAGTGAAGCTTTATGGACCAGTTCTTGTAATAATGTTTATTGCCTACATTCATAATTAAAGAAAATGCTAAAATTTTAGAGGTTAGTGAAAATAAAGATGTATTTTTTTCCAAGTTCATGGACCCAAGGGGTGATTCTGTTACATATTTCATGTTAACAACTGCTTTTCACCAGCTGCCTATAACATTCATACAAAAATTGGAATGTTTTTACTAGAAACTGAATTTGTGGTGAAGGGAAAGGGATAGGACATGATATTTCTATAAAACATTTTGTATTTCTTTATGACTTTTATTTGTCTCTCACAACAACTTGGATGAGTTGGTGGGAAAGGGGTTCTGAGAAGTTAATGAATTAAGTTGCCCGAGGCCATATAGGTGGGTGGTGGGGAGAGGCATAGAAAACTGGGGCCTTGGTCTTCTGACACCAGATTAAGTATTTGCTATGTTTCCCCCTAATTAATTAGAGTGGGGCATGGACAGTCTTTTTGATCCAAGCTCATATTTGTAGACTATTACTCTTCGAACACGAAAAGCTAACAGTGAAGAAGTTTGTTGTATTGGGCAACTTCAAGTCAATTTTGGTCGTGTTTGAGGACCCCACACAGGTACTGCTAGGGTTAAGCAGATGGTTATGGAATCCCGAATTAGACTTGTCCCAAACACAATTCATTCTCTTCTTACCTCCAACTCTCTCCTCTTTTGAACTACTTTTGAGAGTACTACTATTCTGCTTGTGACGGAGACTCACAGTATCATGTCATCTTTACCTCCCCATTTTCACCCCATATAGCCAATCCATTGCCAAATCTTGTCGTTTTTAGTTTCACAGCATTTGTCTTATAAGTTCTCTTTGCTTCAAAAAAAAAGGCAAAAGACAGTCCCTACTTATAATCTAAGGAGATTTTATAATCTAATTGAAAAGACAACATTTGAACAAAAGGACAAGGAAGCTACATACAGGGCAAATAGTAATTAATTAAAAGAAAGAAAGCACTAAAATAAAGAGGGGTTAGGGAAGGCTTCCTGTAGGAAGCGGGATTTTAGTTGGTGCTGGAAGGAACCCAGGGAGGTCAGTAGTCAGAGCAGAGGAGGGAGAGCCTTCCAGGAACTGGGGACAGCCAGAGAGAATGTTGTTTGTGGAAGAACATGGAGGTCAGTGTCACTAGATCAAAGAGTAGGATTTGGGGATGACAGGGGGCAACCTAGTTGAGGAGATGTGATCACTTAGAGGGACTAGCCTTAGTTAGGAGTAAGGCTACTTCATCATGTGAAATGGTGGTGAAGGATGAGAAAGTGGCAGAAAGCATCCCAGTGACAGGGGATGAGGAGAGAAGAAGATTTCATGGTGAATGGCCTCCATTTTTTTTTCTATGAAATATGACGCAAGGTTCTCAGCTGAGAAAATGGGGGAGAGAAGAGGGAGCAAAGGGAGATTTGAGTAGGTTTGAAAAGGTTTGGAGGCTCCACTGAGGAGAGTGAGGTAGTGAGTTATTAAGGATATAGGATTATTTTGCAGAAGTGAGGGCCTTGTTGAGATTATGTAATATAAATTTGTGATGAACTCAGAGTGGTTGTATGACTTTCTCCACCTTCATTCTGCAGCATGTATTTAGGAATAAGGAATAGTGGGTTCAATCTAACATTAAGGCATGGTTAGGTGTTATCAGCAATATGATAAGGGACCGATGATACGGGACAGGAGGGCAATGTAGAGTTGAGTTGGTTCACTAAGGAATCAGGATGGGATGAAGAGGAGAGAGTGGCTAGTTTTATTAATTATTTTTGTACAGATAATACCTTTCTTTTTTTCTTTTACTATATAGTAACTTTTAGTATAAGAACTTAGTACTCTTTCTT